GCCGCCGCCTATGGGCAGCAGCCCGCCACCGCCGCTGCCGCTGCCGCTGCGGCCGCCGCCATGAGCCTGGGCCCCATGGGCTCGGTGGTGAAGTCGGAGCCCAGCTCGCCGCCGCCCGCCATCGCGTCGCACTCACAGCGCGCGTGCCTCGGTGACCTGCGCGACATGATCAGCATGTACCTGCCGCCAGGCGGGGATGCGGCCGACGCCGCCTCGCCACTGCCCGGTGGCCGCCTGCACGGCGTGCACCAGCACTACCAGGGCGCTGGGACTGCGGTCAACGGAACGGTGCCGCTGACCCACATCTGAGTTCCGGCCCGAGCTCGTCGCCCTTCACCCCCACCCCTCCCCACACCCCCAAGTTGGGACGCCTTGTTGTTTAGCTTTGCTTGCCTGGGACTGTTGCCTTGTACCGAAGATGGGGAGGACAGAAAGTTTTGCTGTAGCTGTCGGGTTTTGTACAAAAGCAGAAAGAAGTCGGGAGCAGCGGAAATGGGACTTTCTAGAACTGCCTGCTCCTTGCCACTGCTCCTCCCTCCCCCTTTGTAGGCTGGGAACCACGATGATGTTTGCAAAGAAAAAGCAGCCTCCTCCTCCTCCTCTTCCTCCTCCTCCTCCTCCTTCTCCCGGGTTCTTCAGTTGCATTTGAAAATGTTGTCGCGTTAGTTTGCTATTAATGGAGGAGTGAGTGAACGGGAGAAACAGACTCTCTGGTGAGGCTGGCCTGAGAATTGCGACGCCCCCGCCCCCAGTCGCGTTGCATCTTTTCCTCGTGGTTTTCGGGGGGCTGACCGCGCCGAGTGGCGCGGCAGCTAAAGCCAATGTTAATTTATAGCCAGGTGTGCGCGTTGTCTCCCGCCTCGCCTCCCCTGGCTTCAGGACAGCTTCTGTCCGGTCAGCTTTTAGGCTGTTGACTTGGTGATTTTTCTGTCGTGATTTGTTTGCTATTTTGTCACGCTAATGTGTTCGGATTTCGTTTGGGTGGTGGGGAAGGGGCTATTTTGTTTCAGGTTTTTCAAGATTTTACTCTTAATTCCTAAATGAGAGATCAATAAATTTTATAACCAACAAGATGGAGTCCTGGTAATTTTGCGGGCCCGATACTAGGTGCGGTTTGGGGAGGGAACTAACCCTTGGTTTTTTAACTGAGGTGCCATCCGGAGGGCAAAGTGGGGCTGCGGGGGAAGAGCGCGTGATCGGAAATGAAATGTTTTTCCTTTCAACTACTGGTGATCCAAGACAGACCAGCTCCCAGAAGTCTCCAGCGAAAGAGACTCCACCGGAGAAACGGTTTGGCTTCAGAGAGTGTCTCCTGGGAGCTGGCCGAGGCGCACAGCCGCGCGCGGCCACGCACTTGTTGATCGCCGTGAGCGTCCCGGGAAGTAGTGGCTGACGCTTAGCCACTAGAGCCGCGGAAACCGACCAGAGAGGGGGCACCTTTACCTTTGTGCACCGGGGAGGGAAGACACTTGAGCCCACCTGAAACATTTACGAAACGAAAACCCTCCGGAAATCTCAGTGGTCCTATTAAAATCAATGGCTACAGGCATCCCAGGCAGGAAATGAATAGATTGCAACCGTAGCAGCTGAAGCGGCCCGCGGAGTAAGCGCTCCACATTGTAAGACGTAGTTTACCAAAGTAAGGGTAGATTGAGGGGGTTCTAAGACACTTGCTTGGCTTCTTGTTTCTAACGTGTCAGTGAAGTCCTCTTGTTTTCTTGTAGAGGTTCCCTTTCGTGCAGATCCTCGGCTGGCCCTCTGCTCCTTTCACTCCACTTTCCTCCTGTCCCTGACCCTTGGCCAGTCCACTGTGCCCCCGAAGAGGCTTTCGTTTCGCGCCCGAAGGACCGCGCGGCCCCGTCGTATCTGTTTGGGGCCTAGAAAAAAAAACAAATAGAACCAGTGTTTTTTTACCCCCTCCTCAGCTGTTTGAGGTGATTTCCTTAATCCCTTTAATCCTGTTACCTCGCTATCCCAGAATAACTAAACTCGGCCTTTCCAACAAGCTTTGGCCTGGTGTACTGTTTTTATCCTCATCCACTCCTGACCACAGGTTTCTTTGCTTGGGGTCTGCTGGGACACTAGGGGACAGTCCCCCGTAAATTGGTCCAAATTCCACATTTCCAGCCGGCTTCCTTTGTGCGGACCAGCCATTCACCTGCAGGCTGGGGCGGGCCTCGGGGGGAGGGGCGGGGGCTTTCTGAGGCTTCGGGGGTCGTGCCCGCTTTTTACACATCACTGCAGATCCTGGAGACTAAACCCATCCCACCTCTCCAAGAAAGGTCGGGTATCGCTGGGAAGGCAGCGCCACCCCTCCCCCGAAGACATCAGTACTGCCACCCCCAGACCCTGGGCCCCATCCCCCACTGTCCAGCACAGGATAGGAGGGCATCCGCTTCGATTTACCGAGGCGACGCGTTGCTCCCCACCCAGGCCTCCTCCCCAGGCCTGCAGTGCTCAGGCTAGGCCTCCAGCTCCCTGCTCACCTCACCCCAGGGCCACAGACCTCCAGCTCCTCCAGGCCGGTCTGGGCTTGAACCTGTACCACTGTGGTGGGAGCAAAGGGGCAAGCGGCCTAGTCCTTAAGTCTCACCGCTCTCTAGGCCCTGTCGCTCCAAAGCCCAGCGGCAGGATGGCACTTGTCATATCCACTTTCCTATTTGTATACTTCGCAGTGTTTCGCATTCAATAAAATACCTGTAAGTAATTCTGGGGCTCCAAATGCTAGCAATTATGGACTGAGTTTGATCTTCAACGACTCCAGGAAAGGGAGGCTAAAGCAGTTCCCCCACCGACTGGGGCGGTGCCAGTGGGGGAATAAACTCTGACACTGCTGCTTTCCGAGAGGCCATTGTGCTACTGCCTTCTTAGAAGCCAGGGTGACCCTTTCAGCGTGTCTCACTCCCTTTGGAAACATCCATGGCTTTGTGCTGCAGGTTGTCTGATTTCTAAATTGCTTTTAAGAAGAGAAAAGATTTCATCCATCAGTACATTTGCAAGTTTTAAATCCAGTTGCAAGATAATGTTTTTTATTTTCGGCAGCAGGGAAGAGAAGTGAGTTGTACTGGACTGAAGCTTCCATGCTTTGGGCCTGAATGTTGAACACTCCCCTCCCCTGCACAGTTCCACCAGAGCCCGTGCACTTCAATTTGTTTTGCAGATCTGGGGTTCTGGAAAGCTTTAGCTGGAAATAAGGGCCCTGTGGCTAAAACAACAATGGCACCACTTTATCGGACTCCAATTCCTCCTGCTTCCCTGCCTGTTTTACATATGAGGAAACCGATCAAGAAAGGGAAAGGAAGGCGCTCAAGGCTGCTTAGCTGGTTCTGCCGCAGAACTAGGCTCGGGGCTTGGGAGGATTCTTTTTGCACTGCCCGCCACAAAGAGAACAGAGACCAATGAAATCACAGCCCCAGCTTCCTCTCAAGATTCTAATCCAGCAAACTCTCCAGAGAAAAGAGGTAATTCCTGACATAAAGGCACCTAGTAGCCACCACTTGGCTAGGTCCTTATGGAGCGAGAAGACCGAGTTCATCTTTTATCTCCCCAAACAGAAGCAGAGCGAATTATCCTTCCTAGAGATTTGTTCTTCTGTGCGATTTACAACTTTGCTCATTAATTTCCCTTCAAGGAAGCCATGGATGTGGTGAATGTCTAACACACAGGCAAAGATTTATCAACAAATATATAT